CCATAGATGTATCCTCCTGTACTGTAGGGCTCAGCTCTGTTCACTTTGTATTTTGCACCTTTTGAACATTCTTTAAGTCAGACCACTCACACACACACACACACAACATATTCCTCATTGTGTGTTGACATTTGAAGAACATTTCTACAGCCCTTTGTGGATTGTTGTTATTTGACTAAATTCCATGCTCCCAGAAACCCTTCTTGGCCAGGTGCATAGCTCTTCACTCTTCTGGGAGTTGCTTCTCTTTGGGTATCCATTTTTGTCTATATTTAAGGGACTAACCAAGTTAGCATTTCAGACTGTATTTTTCTGTTCTACCCAGTTCAGTCAGCTTCTCACAAAGATCATCTTTTTGGACAGACTACTCATGCAGATGCATTTAAAGACATATTACTAAACAGTTTTTCCTTCTTTTCATCCCTCCCCAGAATACAGAACATACTATTCTCCTGTTGGATACACATGGCAAAATTACTAAGAAATGCTGACAATGAGTGGTTACTCAAAATTGTCACTTTTTTTCCCTCTCTATTTTGCTGAATCAAGACAGGTAGCGAACAGTTTGGCTTGGACACGATCAACTACAGGAAAAAGAATGGCATTTTCCTACTTGTGGGTGTGAAAGCTAAATCCACAAGCAGACTCTAGGGCTGCCTGGGGGTAGATGAGCACTGAGTGACATGCAAGTTCACCTCAGAAGCCCTGCACTGGCAGTTGCTATTATTAAAAGCTTTTCTTTTCAATCTCCCCTTCCCAACACCCCCATTACTGGCAAAGGAAAACAGATATAAGAAGCAAGAGCAGCTAGTCAGAGTCACAGAGTAGGTCAGGGCACTTCAAGTTCATAGAATCTTTACACCACAGTATTATTTTAGGGCTCATCTACCCACTCACATTACAGCACAAAGAACTGAAGCTCTGAGGGATAAATGACTTGTTCAAGGTCACAGTGAGCCAGAGAAGAGATTTCTATATCCTAACTAACATTAAGTTCCCAAGCTGCATTTTAGCATTCCATGTCTCCTCAAATTTTCTTTTAAAACCTTCCATGCCTAGCTCACATTCTTTCTGAGCAAGTGTCTTCAATCTTCTCCAAGTCTATAGAGATGCCTTTCTTCCCTGATGTTAGTGAATGCCCTTTGACATCCCATGAGTCATGGAACTTGCTGCTGGCAGGGTCACTGGAGGCCACTGAACTCAGGTCTCTCTTTCAAACTCTCATTCAGCTCACCAATGCAGCGTAAGTTGATATGTAGAAAGGTGTTTGTCTTGTTGGTGATTGGAATCCTCTCTACTCAGCACCGTGGCCTGTATAAATACCATATTTGATTCACTATGCCAATTTGGCAATTATTAAAAATGTGGATGTCCCGTGGACTGGGGTTCCATTTTCTCAGTGTGTAGAGTAAGTACTTGACAGCTAAAACTGTTTCCTTATCTATCATGTGACTGCTTCATATACTTTATTTGAATTAATAAATAACACAAGGCAGGAGTAATATCCTTAGCATCACATTAAAGATTCAATAACTGCTTACTAGTCCTTGATCACGTTCAGGGAAATTCACTTTGTCAATGTCATTGTTTACTAATCAGATTCTAAAGAAGAGGTGAAGGAGCAGAAACTTGGAGGATCTTTCACATCTGAGGGGAACTTCCATCTACATAAAACAGTATGGACTTGATGAGGAAAGTAGAAAGAAAAAAAGAAAAAGCCGTAAAAAATGTCTATTACAACATAACTGTAATTGAGGGACTATGTGGTGGGGGGGAAGGGAAAGAAAATGATGGTGGGGAGACAATGCTAAAATACATTGGCTCTACTTATGATGATGGTACAAGGCAATCCACTGAAAGCTGTTGTAATAGGTGAAAGAGGATGGAGAAATAAGAGAGCAATAGAGGGGGTTAATCTGGTCAATGAAAAAATATTCACTTGTGAAACACCATGGTGTAACCCCTTGGTACAATTAATATACACTTAAAAAAAAAAGGTTCTTTTCACTCTGGGCATTACTAATAAGAGAGACAGAATGGAGTGAGGCAGGACCAGGTAGGCATGTGACTTTGGTGAATGGGGATGGTAGGGAGTGTGTGCAAAATTACTCTGAGGACCCTCAATTGGATTTAAGGTAAAATAGGAAGTCTGCCTTTTATTTGTTTGTTTACCACGTGTAATATCAGGGATGTTTTACCACCAGCAACTCTGGGCCAAGGCCCAAGGCATGGCAGGAAAGCTTTGGCAGACACTATCACCCCCTAGTGGTGGCTCTATACTCCCCATCACTGGCAAGGTTTGGGCCCCAACTTGGCACAACCATCTCTGACACCTGGCCATCCCCAAATTCCCTGAACTGACAATCTAGTAGTGAAAGTCTTGTCTAAGTCACCAGAGAGGAAAGCTGGGCAGTTGGTTTGAAAGGTCTGGAGATGGGATGGAGCTGCCTTGGGACCTTGGGAAACCTATGATCATAAATAACTCCTCTCCACCGCTCCTCACCACCACTACCAACCCTCCTTGCCAGCCAGCCTGGCCCTCCAAGAGCTCATTGTGCACTCCGTGTTTACATGCAAACAGTCGAAGACCAACACAAATAAAAAGCCCACGTCTCCCTACACAGCTCCTGCTATACCCTGCCATCTGGTGACTACCTCGCTAGCCAAATCCCTGTCGGGAGTGCTAGAGCTGCCAGTCCAGGGCCCTGGGGGGAGGAGGAGGTGGGAACCCAACTCTCTGCTTGCATCCAAAAAACTCTGTGCAGCTGATGCATAAAGCACCCGGCCACTCTGGGGGCAGACATTCCCCAGCCACCAGGCTCCAGGGCTGTGCATCAAAGTGAAGGTTCCAAGTGGAGACACCAGGGACTCTCAAGCTGACACATGGATCCTGGGGGATTCCCTACTTTCAACTCTACGGTCAGCTTGCCTTAGGCCTCCAGGCACCCATCCCCTTGAAAGGCACAGTTTAAAATAACAAGGAATAGTAGCTCTAGGAATTTCGGGGCACCTCTGTAGTTGTCTGGACCAGGTCCCCATATCCTTGGGAACTGGAATGCTTTGGGGTTCTTACTGCCAAGTCAGACTGTACTCAAGGACTGATTCCCTTCCTCCCTCATTTCAATGGCCATTTAGGGGGATATCCGCTCTTGAGCTCTCAGTGTATCCTGGAGTAGAGCAATCTCAGATGGATGAACAGAGAAAATTTGGAAGTGGTGGCAAAGGGATGACTTCTATGTCTTTGGCAAGACCCCACTGCTGCCACCACCAAGTAGCAGGAGCTAGGGGTGACCCTAGGTCAACTCGGCACCCTAAAGAACTCCACCTTCACCCTCAACCCTTTCCTTGGATGTAGGCAGTCCCACAGGTGTATGTGGGAAGGGCTCTGGTTTGTTTAAAAGTACTTGTGTGTGTGTGTGTGTGTGTGTGTGTGTGTGTGTGTGTGTGTGTGTGTTGTATGTGTGTCTCGAGCCAGACGAGCCGCCGCGGGAAATCCCCGGGAACCTGGGAGGTTCACTCTCTCTTCTCTCTCCTGCCTCGCCTCCCAGTAAGCTCAGCGTGCTCAGGTTACAGTCAGTTGGGAGAGCCCGAAACCCGGAGGCTCAAGCTCAGACCTAGAGAGGACCTGGCACCCGTTCAAAACCCCAGAGGCAGCCCAGCTTTCCCCATCCTCCCCTAGAAATATTTCCTTGTAACAAAAATACATTTTAAATGTCAGGGCTCCCAGGGAGTGGTCTGGTCTTTGGTTACTTTGGAGGGCTTCCCAGGAGAGCAAGGAGTTAACGTCAGAGGTTCAGGCAGGGAACCTAAATGAGCTGAGCACTAAGGACGGTCATCCCGGCAGTGCCGGAACCCGACTCCTGCGAAGACAAGGACCGGGTAGAAGAGCTCGGGAGTCTAGGTGCAAACCCCTGGCGCCTTACAGGCGCTGTTGTTGGCCTGACTCAGACAACCAATCGGGCCCCGCGCCCCCAAGAGGGAGGAGAGAGGGAGCGAGCAGCGAGCGCGGGAGAGCTAGGGGGAACAACATTTTTATAAACGCTCTCCGAGATAATTAAGCTATCAATTACCCGGGTGGGAAATCAGCCGTGCTTCCCACAGCTCCACGGAAGGGCCGACTCCTCCGGGATTCGCGCCGGGAATCAGCAGGCAGCAAGCTGCTGGCGAACTTTCTGATTAACTTTTCTATTTGAACCTCCTACCCCCACCAATTTCCTCTCCCTTCCTGTTTCTTGCCTTTAAGTTATTATTATTAGCCCAGTAAGTGAACAGCGAGGACAAACCTGCTCTCTGCTGGGAGGAGGGTAAAAAGGGGAAGGCGATACATGAGGGTGGAGGGAGAATCTAAATGTGGAGACCTTGGGCTCAGAATCCCAGTCCTCACAAATCACTCAGTGGATTCCAGTCCCATTCCACAGAAGGCCAAAACTGAAGCTCAAAGAAGGAAAGGGACTTAGCCAAGGTCACCCAGCCCATGCGAAAGTCGAGATTTTGCGGACTGGATCATCATACATACAGCTCTGATTCTCGAGAAAATCGTTCTGGAAGGGCAGAACCTACAACTCTGAGGCTATAGCGAGGGGGCGGTAACAGTGGGTGGCCAGTGGCCGCGCCGGGAGGAGAAGTGGGCGGCTTGACTGCGAATCGGTATCAGAGAAGGGACTGCCTCAGCCCCAAGACAGAGCTCATTAAGAGACTTGGGTTTCCGGGGCCCAGGATGGATGGGGCAGGGCTCAATGTATGGACCGACAGACAGAGAGACAGGTCCCCACTGCGGGAGCTTTGGCACGCCCCCGGGCACCAGTTGTTTGCTGTCTAGTACCTCCTGCCCCACACTCCTTTCCAACCACCTGTGCGCCCTCTGGGCCCCTCAGCTGCCCTTTGTCAACCCCACTCGGGGAAGCCTGGGGCGGGGATCCCCAGGGCGCCCCCACCCGTCCGGCCTCACTTAGGGGTTCACGGTTCCTTGGGACTCCGCGTGTGCTGGCACTCAGCCTTACCCAGGGTGAAGAAGGGCAGCTCTGTGTTGTCCAGGTCATCTTGCACCGCGATGCGCCCTGGCAGCTCGTTACGCACAAAGAGCAGGAGGCGCGACTCGGCTGCTGTGCCGGCAGAACCCGCGGAGCCTGGAGACGCGGCGGCGGCGGCAGCTCCGGCTCCGGTCCCAGCCCCGGCCCCGGCCCCGGCGCGGGCGCCGCTCCAGCCGATGTCGCTCTCCCGCAGGGCGGGCAGTGTGGACACCGTGACTGTCTTGAGCCGGCATGGGCTGTCGGGCTCCCGTGAGGCGGCGGCGGTGGCGCCAGCCAGCAACGGTGGCGGCGGCAGTAGGAGCAGAAATACCAGCAGCAGCAGCGGCGGCGGCGGCGGCGGCCCGGGGTGGAAGCCGAGCCTCGGCCGCCCCCGGAGCCCCGAGCCGGGGCCGGGACTGCGCCGGGCGCCGGCGGCGGCCATGGCGGGAGGGGCTGCGGTGCTGCAGGCGGTGGCGAAGGAGGAGGAAGAGAAGGCAGCGACGGAGACGGCGGACGCCAAAGCGAACCAGGACGCCCGAGCTAAGGAGCCGAGAGAGCCGCTAGCCAGCAGCCCCCAGCTCTGGGCTCCGCCTCCTGATCGGCCCTGGACCGCCCCCCCGCGCCGCCTCCCCGAGCCCCGCCACCTGCCCCCACCCCTTCGCCGGCTCCCCAGCAGACCCCGAGCGTTTCGGAGGCTCCGCCCGTCCTCGTGCAAGTACCAGTCGCTCCCTCCCCTTTCCCAGGATCCCCCAATACCGCCCTCACAAGGTTCTTTAGTCCCAACAACCCTCTACAAAATTCTTAACACTTAAGGACCCCCTTGCATCTTCTCTACCCTCTTCCCCCCGGCTCTCCGACCCAACCCAGCTCTTCTGTCTTCATCGCACCTAGCTGGACGCTGCACCGAGGGGCGCGCCTTAGCCCACCCTTTCTCAAGGCCCCGCCTTCCTCGGTAGAACACGCTCCTGGATGGCCACGACTTAACTTTGTCTCCTCTCCTGAACAAGAACAAGTCCTGTCTTCCATTCTCTACCCGTTTTAGCCCTTGAAGTTACTTCCTGAGGTCTCAGAGCCCCCTCTCATCCACTTGTCTGCAACTCATACATTCATTCCCACACTACTGCCAGGACCACACCTCACCCCGCCACTGAGGCCTCCGAGATTGAACTCACTGCGAGTGGACACATAGGCTTTGAACTCCATTCCCTAGTACATCCCCTATCCCTGCCAACTGACTTCAGCTGGTCTGCTCTGGCCCCCTAGCTGCAGCCCTGCAAGGCACCCACTCACGCACTTTTATTTTGGATCCCTGCTCATGGCTTGGCGTGGCTCTACTTGGCTGCTTCTGCTCTCTGTGAAATTCCTGAAAAGGGTGCAAGGCATTGACCTATTCTGATGACTCTTCACTCCCCTAGCTTCTAGATCCTCTGCCCAGTTCTCAGAGGAAGGGGCTGCATACAAACTCTTGGCCTCCAGTCCATCCAGATCAAGTGGAGTTGTAAATCTAGGTCCTCAAACATAGTCTTCTTTGGCCTTTTGCTGCCTGAGTTTCTGATCCACATACCTTAAGATCCCCACCAAGGAGGCTTCCCCTCTTGAAAAGGTCCAGGGTTCCTATATTCCCCCTGCTCCACTCCCTTTCTCTTCTTCATCTTGGGTTTTTCTGTTATCTCTTTCATCTTTCTACTCATTTCCTTCTTCTTCATCTTGACTTTAATCTTATAAATGCTTCCTCCCTATAATTTGTGAGCCATTTCCCATCTCTGTCTAGCTAGTCCATCTACACCTTTTGTGCAGTCTCTGCATTAACTGTTCCCTTCTTAGTTCTTCCCTCTTCTGCCTCTTTTCCTCTATCTGTAACCCTTCACAGGAATTGTTCTTTCCTATCACATCATTTGTTACCTTTTTTTGAGACTTTAGATAAAGGCAGAGGACTGAAAATACAAGGGAATCAATCTGTTTTGTGACCTTGGACTTAATAATACTGTTTATTAAATATTCTCCGAGTACTAGATATGTACTTACATTAATTTTATACATAACCATTATCCGGTGAGATGGGTATTATGAGTCCCATTTTCTATACAGGAAAACTGAGCCTAGGAGGTGATGGGGGTGAAGGGACTTTCCAAGGTCACACAGATAAAGAGGTTATTCTGAACTCCAGGCTTCAAGGCCCTGACTATTTCCATTAAATACACTGTCCTCATTGACCTTGGAAAAACCCATCATCAAAGATGCTGTAAAAGCCAAATCTGCATGTGCACAATTGGGTCTGTATCAGCTTTGAGGTTTGTAAGGTATGCATGCACTGTCTCAGTTTACTAATCTGTGAACCCAAGGGGTAGGGGGTGGAATCTGGCCTTTCAAGTCCTCTGATTCTAAACCATCTCCTCCTTCTTTGATGCCTGCTTCAGTTCATTTACTCCTCCAAAATATGTCACCCTGTCTCCCTCAGTCTCTCCTTTGTACCCTTACAATTCGCCACTATCCTCTGCAATGGGGCTTTCTGATTCTCTATGCCCCTTTCTTCAAATATGCTGACATAGTCCATTTATAGAAGTGCACACCAGGAAAAAAGGGCTCCCTTATGTAAGGCAGAGTCTGTGCAAGTCCTTCATGGACCTTTGGTACAAAGGCCTGTCAAATGAGGCCAACACTTTCATTCATTCATTCACTAACAAATATCCTACCAGGCACTGTATGGGGAGGCAGGGATGGATAAACACAGCTACTGACCTTAGAGAGCATATAGTGATGGAGGAGGGGCATAGGAATGAGATCAGTACAGAAATATCTCAGGTAACAGGTAGGTAGGCAGGCAGGCAGGCAGATATGTTTCCTCTATGAGGCATGTGATGAGTTCTGGTTAGAGTCAAAGAAAGCTGTCCAAAAGTGGTGGCATTGGAGTTGAGCCATAAAGGACTAGAAGCATGGGAGGGAGAGGGGGCATTCCAGGTTTAAGATGGAATTTGACACTTTTTACAACTGTTTAGCATTTTAACAAATCCTTTTCCTACATCACAAGGTGCTTCATCTTCTGAGGCAGGACCCACCTCCCAAGAAGATGCTAAAATTTCTACTTTACTAGCTCTCACCACAGTTAGGGCTTGGGCATATGACCGAGACATCAGCAATCATACTGAGCTACCCAAAAGCTAAAAATGAAGCTGGAATCAGGCAGAATCCATTAGAGACCAAAGTGGCAACAGTGGGGGGCAATTACATCCAGGTTTGATTGCTAGTGGAAACAGTAACTACTTGGAGCCCAATGTCATTGGTGTCAACCAATGGTAATCACTGGTGAATTGCCCTATTGATGCCTGGTTGCCATTGTAACAATATCTCTGTGAGTCTAGTTTGTGATGTGATTTGTAGAAGTGCTCTTGATGAGGTGCTCTTGACTTCATGGACTCTAAACCCAGATCCCATATCATATGTAATATAATCTCAATTATCTTTGTGATTAAATTATTCAGCATTAGCTTCTGTTGCTTGCAACTAAGACACCTGCCTGATAACACAGAATGTGGAAACAAATGTAGGTCAGAGAGGGCAAAGCTGATGATGGGAAATAGAGCAAGTTCAATGAGAGAAAGAGGAAGTGACTGAAGGCCAGACTGAACAGGCAGACAGGCAATACCAACATCATGGGCATCAAACCTGGAATGGTCGTGAAAAAAGAAGTAATGTTTGGAAGCACATGTCTGGGACTTCAGAACTTTATGTGATATACTAATGAAGGATGATAATAATTTCTGCCTTCTAGTGGTTGTGAGGCTTCAGAAATAACTACACAAAGCACTTAACAAGTAGTAGGTGCTCAAAAAGTTCTGACTACTACTTTGACATAAAGTAGCATCTGGAGTAAGACTTGTCACCCCATCTCCAGATGTGAAGTCTGAAGCTTAGGAAAGCTAAGAAACTGTATTTTGATCATGTAGTTACCAAATAGTGGAAGATAAGAATGCCTGACTCCAAAATTCTTGTCCTATCTGCTAAGCACAGGTCCTCCTTTCACCAGCCCATCTCCACACTTTCCCAATGTGCTATAATTGTCTTCCTCATACTGTATTATCTATCTTTGTGTCTGATGCCTACCACCCTGCATCACCCCCATTGGCCTCTTCCCTTCTTCCTCTCTCCTTTCAATTACATTTCCTTATTGATCTAATTTGTTTTCATTCATTATTGATTTAAGGTGTGATCCTCTAGAGCCCCCTGTACCTGACTCCGCTGAATGAAAATTCCTTTTCATTCTCGTCCTTCTCAGAATACATTTTCTCTTGTTTCATTTTCATATTTCACATTTGCCTTCTAGGTAGATTTGTAAGTCCCCCTCCCCCTCCATTCTCTCTCCTCCAGAATCTATTCTATCTTACAAATTCCTTTCTATCCATAACAGCAGATCAAGGCAACCTGGTGTGTTCTGAAAAACAGGAGCCAGGAGGTGGACAAGCTTAGGTTTACTTATCAACTTTGCAATTTATCTGCTGAGACAGGTCACTTAATAGAACCTACCAGACCTTTTGTTTTCTCATTTGTAAAATGGAAAAAGTAGTACCCACTTCTCAGGGTCATCATGGGAATTAAATGAGACCATGCATATGAAATTGTCTAGCACCTATGAGGCTCTCATTAATGCTATATGTAAATCCAATCATCTTATGTTATCTCACCTGCTGTTTCCTCCTCCCACCTCCTGTTACATGACCCTCACCACCACCTTTTAGTTCCAGCCACACTGATCTCTTTTTTTGTTCCACAAAGCTCCCTCTTTTGCCAGCACAGATTTTCCTCAGCCTTCTTCATCTGGTCATCTTTCACTTTCTATATGTCCAGCTAATAAAGCACTTTCTCTAAGATGACCTCATAGCCAGTCTCTTAGTCCCTCTCTGTTTCCCCCATTATGTCCTTTTACATCTCCTTACAGGCTTTTTAATTGTACTTATTCTATATTTTAATAATTTTGTACTTACTAGTATATTTTCTGGATGTGTTTTCCCCAGTACACTGGAGCTTTAAGATATTAAGGATGTCAATTTGCAACATAGCTATTACAATAACCAACTCAGGAAAGAGACACTAAATATTTTTCCAAAGAATGATCATATATTTGTTGAGCTTTTACTCTTCTAAGACAGTCCCTATACTAGGCACTAGCTCTACTTCCACAGAGAATAAAGTACACCATCCTTTTTGATTCTGTAATAAAAACATGCCTCTTTGTTCTCCCCCACCTGCTCATGTGTTCCTCTTCCATCCCTTCCTTCTTTTTTCTTTCCCTCCTTCCTTCCCAGCATTCCATGATTCCAGTAATTTTTTAAATGGCTTTTCTTTCTTAAGCCTCAAGATGATGACTAGACCATAGATAAACTCCAGTTCAGCACAACAGAGTACTATCTTGGGCTCCATCTCTACCCTATCTGAACTCAATCTTCTATTAATCCTCTTCGTGTCTGTGTCTCTCCACCATTTGTGTTCTCTGGTTTCAATCATTGCCTTCCCTGTAACTCACATCCTCCTTTTAATCCTGCTTTGCTTTCCCCGCAT